CATGTGGGCAAAAACGCATAAAAATTATAGGAAAACTGCGCATGTGAACTCGGAAAAAAGGAAATGGAGGTCAGTGAAAGGTGTGATATACGGCAGTTAAAGGTGTGCAAGTCCTGCATGAGCAGGTCTGCAAGTTTCGCATAAAAATGTTCCATCATCGTTCTTCCATAATCGAGCACACTGAGGGTGAAAAAATTCCTCACAGCCATCGCATATCAAGCACTGGCTTATATTGACTGTAGGCACTTCATGAGGACAGTTGCAGTTCACCTAAAAAATACTGACATTACAGTGATCACTGCCACAAAGTGGTGTCTGAGTGTATCAGCAGCAGATACACAAGCAAAAATTCATATTTTCGCTGAAAGATATAAAATTAGAAACGAAACAGAAAGCTGAATGAGCTTTCGCAAATCTCACTTTCAGGTCCACTAGATCAGAAAAACTGTCTTGTCACGACAATTGTCCAACTATGCTAGGGTCATTGTGCCTTGTGAATGCTTCTTGCTCTGCTTCACCGCTTTCTGGATTGTAATACTGTTGAAGATCATGAAGTTGCGGCTGTTCTGGAGGATGGTATCTAGCAAGCTGTTCTTGTGGTGACAACTCTGCAACGATGCTCAGTCCTTCGTCCATCATGAATGCTTCTTGTCCTGCTTCGCCGCCTTCTGGATTGGAAGCCTGTTGAGGATCATGAAGCTGTAATTGTTCTGAAGGATGATATCTAGCAAGCTGTTTTTGTGGCGACAACTGTGCAATGGTGCCAGGTTCTTTGCCCATCAAGAATGTTGCTTGTCCTATCTCGCTACTTTTTGGATTATAAAACTGTTGAGTATCATAGAGCTGCTGCGGCACTAAAGGATCATGGAGCCGCGGCAGTTCTGAAGTACGATATCTAGTAAGCTGTTCTTGTGACAACTGTGCAGCGGTACTAAGTTCACCGTGCTTCTTAAATGCTACTTGTTCTACTTTACCGTTTTCTACACTGTAAAACTGTTGAAGTTCACGGGCCTGCTGCGGCACTACAGATTCACTGAGCTGCTGCGGTATCACAGGTTCATTGGGTTGCTGCGGTTGTGAAAAATAATATTTAGCAGGCTGCACTTTTAGGGACGACTGTATAACGGTGCAAAGATTATCAAACATCACAGAAGTCCCATCTGATTCACTGTCTTTTCGACTGTAAAACTTTTGAGAATCACAAACCTGCTCTGGCACTTGAAAGCCATGGAACTGCTGTGACTGTGAAGGAAAGTACGGAGCTGTCGCTTCAGAAAGTACAATTGAGCGCTGAGATGGGCTCACCGATTCGAAGCGTTCACGTGATGTAGGACCCATTCTTGTTCCTGGTACTTCTGGGACAAATTCTCCGCGCATGACATATTCCTGGCGCTCCTG